TCTTCCCAATCTACTCCAGTGAAACTGAAAAGAAGAAGGAGCTTGGTTTAAACCAAAATAAAAGGGTCAGTATATCAGAATAATTAAAACAAACAACTTTTGTGTGTAGATGCTTTTAGAAACCTAACGTTGGGCACCCATTTTTGAAATTTTTGTTTTAGTCTTATTATCATGAAACTTTATAGGTACATCTTGCTGTCTTTATTAAGTAGCCTTAATCCAAAGTGAAATTGTTTTTACTATGTCATTGTCATGAGGTGAATGAGTTTTTTAGAACTGATGAAAGCTACTTCAGCATGGTCTGTTTACTTTTTCAAATGCTCTTTTTCAAGTGTATTTGTTTGAATTAGGAGAATTCCTGTTTTTTTTTTAACTGAAACTTTGATCTTGAAAATGTAAAAGATGGATTTTCAAAACTCCTGGGGTATGAAAATAACCTAACAACACATGTGAAACTCAATAAAATATTTGATTATACCTTTGAAGAGATTTTGAGAGATTATTTAAAGTAAAACTTCAAACCTCTGTTAAGTGCTTTCAAATACAATGAGAATGAGGGATGAACAGCAGCCTTGGTATTCTGTACTGTTTCTCTAATACTTTAAGATATACCTGATGTTACTTGGGTCTTTAACTCAGTTTTTGTTTTTTGGAAAATAACATGAAAATGTACATGCTTCATGTAAAGCATTGCTCTGGGGTGGGGCTGGGGAGAAGGGGTTCAGTATGCAGGCTGCCCCAGGAAGAGAGGACTACCCCAGTCCTCTCTCACCACAGCAGCTTGGGCCAGGAGAGAAGCGCCTTTCTATGGCTGCTGCAGCTCCAGCAGGCACAGATGGGAGAGAGGGGCAGGTCCCTCAACTGGGGCAGGTCCAGATGCATCTTTCTCCTGTATTCCCCAGCTAGGGTGAGGAATGCAGCAAACTGCACTTTCTACTTGCTCTCTGATGAAGGGGTGGGAGGCTTGGGGCTGCTGCAGACCTGGACATGGGGCAAGGGGATACATCCCCAACGAGCCCCTTTCACCTGCTTGGTGATTCTGTCTCTTTTCTGTATAGTTTTATGACAAGCAATCCTATCCCAGGTGCATCCTGCTTTTCTGGCACAACAATAGTCTTATCTTGCTTTAAGTTATGATAAGAGAAAGCGGTATACTGAATTTGGTGGTCTTAGCTGTTACTATTTAGGAGGAGCTCTTGAACAAACAGACAAAGAGAGAAATTCTCTTAAATATATAGTAAATAACAGGAGACTGTCACAGTTGGACAGGAATTGAAAATGGGCCTTACATGTTCATGTAAGTTCCTGCAAAATGAAGGACAGCCCTATTTCCACCTGAATAGTCTGAGACACTTTTTTTTAAGCTTGGAAAGAGCCCCTAATTTCCTGAGATTAGTCCAGTATGGTCAATAACCCTAAAGTGTCCCCTAAAGAAACTCTCATTACAGAAAAATTGCTTGCAGAGCTGGGTTTAGAGAAATTGCGTGACACATCAGCCATTTACAGGAACTGTTTTTTAATAACACATCCTTTTCAAAAGCGTATTGGGATCATGATGGGGCAGTTGAGTTCCAGAGTTCCTTGATTATCAAATAATTAATGGTCCTTCAGTTATAAATTGTAATAATAAAAACTAAAGTGCATCCTACCAAATGATCCATATTTCTAGTGAGGAAATTTGCTTTATTGTAGTGGATTACACCAGTTCCTCACAGGTGTTATTTTTAGTTGTCTCTGCTGCTGCATCTTCTCCCAATGGAGCGAATGATATATTTCTCAAGTTGATAGCTTAACAATTGCTGGATACAAGACACACATTACTTTATTTTCAGACTGTCCATGAATATAGGGATTCAGTTTCTCAATCAGAGAAGTGTGTATGGTCTGAATCTTTATTTCCAGATACTAGTGTACTCAAATAACTAGAATGTAGCTAGCTACTTCATGCAAAGAAAATTGCAATGATAATATCCCTTTGTTGCCTCCATTTGGCATTAGCATGGATACTAGTAATGAAGTTTATATGAAATGGGACATTTTGTTTGTATATTAAAAGCAGGAGAGAAATAACACGAGAAACACAAAACACAAAGATATGACAACTAGCTGGGACTTGATCTAACATACTAAGAATGTTTTTCCTCAACTATTAGACTGCAAACCTATTTTTTGAAGTTGTGTGTTACTAATTCGTTCACTATTTTACACAGCCCAATCTGTCATTAGTATCCTCTCAAAGGACTGACAGTATATGGTTATTTAAACAGAGTTGTTCAGTGCTTAATTTGTAATGAAGTGCCATAGCTCAAGCAATTAGGTTCCAGGGCTCAAGGAAAATTATTACTTCCATAACTGATGTGGCAAACAAAAATGTGCCAGAATGGTGAACCTGACAAGCCTAGAGGTGTCCCCATGGGGCTGAGCTCTGGCACAAATTATGCACTGGAGGTGTTCTTCTAATTAAGCTGGATGAATCTTTTACTCCACCCGTACAATGCCTTTGGGATATAATCTGGGTTGGTCCCTTCAGACGTGAGGTTGCTTGTATAGATTTCACTGTCATTCTATTTGAATACTGCATACATTTTATTTTTCTTACTGCATTTTAGGTTTGTCGAGCTCACATTGTGGCTGCTGTCTACCTACAAAATATACACTATTGTTTCGATAAACGTTTGGATACTTACTAGATCAGGATGCCTTTCAAAAGTGGATTAGAATTAACTGAGTTGCAGAATATGACTGTCCCTGAGGATGATAACATCAGCAATGATTCAAATGATTTCACAGAGGTAGAAAATGGCCAGATAAATAGGTGAGTATTTTTCCACTGATGCTGTCTATCCTGTGAAACACACTGTTTAAAAACAGCATTTTAATTTTCAGTATATCTCTTGAATTATTCATTATCGAGTCATGCTCCATTTGAAGATGTAATTTGAATTTCATATGTGACATCTGTTGGGCATAGTCTGCAATAGCAGATAAAGCAGACAGAGTAGCAATTTATTCATCATTTGAATTTTTCAAATGAGTCTAATAAAATATATAAACATATAGAATAGCAGAATGCTAACATTTCAAAATATCTGTATGTACAATAAAAAAAATAAAAAAACATTAATAACATTAGACTGACAGAAACATTTTGAGCAAAGATATAGGATTTTCAATTAAGTTTGTTCCACAATCTGATTTTTGTAACCACATTGGCCACAAAAATGTTTTTTGACTTCTGTGAATTTATAACTCATGCTGTTAACAAGAAATGTAGATAATATCTTCCTGTCTGTATTTAAAACTCTGAAAATTAGAATGTATAAAAAAAACCTTTGCTCCTAAATGTTGCAGGATCAAAAACTGAATGGAAAAATGCACTTTTAGAAAGAGGAAGAGATTTATAACTAAGGTTTAAATTTAAATATAAATAAATATAGACTCTGCTCAGCAATTAAATACAATTTTTGTATATGCTTTTTGTTAATTTAATAAAATAGAACAAGAGTTGTTCAATCATAATAAACCCTTCCAGGCCTTATTGCAAGGTAAAGGATTACATTTCCAGGTTTTAAATAGTCTTCATGTTGCACTAGAATGGCTGGGTTTTTTTTTTGTTTTGTTTTTGGTGGGGTTTTTTTGTGTGTGGGTTGGGTTTTTTTGAGCTGGAAACAAGCCATCCTCCTCTTCTGAAACGTCATTCACATTTTGCAGAACAAAGAGGGGGGATGAGAGAAAAGAAAAGGTGCCATTTAAGGTTCACAAACCTGCCAGGAACTATTTTTGTGTGGACCCCTGTGCCCATACACAGTCCTGTGGACTGTAATAGGACTGCCGGAGTAAAAGTGTCCACTTTCAATTATTTTACAGGAGCTGAACCAAAAACTGCTTATTCTCCCACTCTACTGACAGACAATAGGTAGCAAATGTTTGCAGGAATGGGCACTGAGGGTACGTCTAGAGTTTAGACTGTGAAGATCTATCAGAAAAAGATACACAAAATACGCTCTGCATTTTGCGTATCTTTTTTCAATACTTTTTCGGAAGATCCTTTTCCGAAATTTGGCCCATCTAGACTGGGTTAAATTTTGGACAAAAAACCCTCTTTCGAAAGCCCCCTTCTTCCTCGTGGAACAAGGAATACAGAGGCTTCCAAAAGAGCGCGTTTGCTCTTCTACAAAAGAAAGCGAAGAGCAAATGTGTTCCCTGGATGCGGCAGAGTTTAGGATCCCGAAACACCCTTCTCCCCCTCCCACAGTCTAGCCGTACCCTTAGTGACTGAGTATACTGCCTAGATGTGCATGGGGAGCAGACTGACCCAGTGGGAAAAGAATATCAGCCACCTCTGTGGAAGAGTTCTTTCCAAAATCATTCCCAGTCTTGAGACCATCAGGCTGGAGGAAGAGTAGGCAGGTTAGTGGGGAGTGCACACTGACAACCAACCCTTCCTCTGAATCTCAGAGTGGAAAGACAATGCCGTCCTGGATATGTTGCATTTCTGTGCTCCCCACCACTGTAGTGGAGATACCCCTTTAAGGGGAAGTCCCCGGGGCAGCTGCAAGACATGAAATCTCTGTCAGTGTGATTTCTCCAGGTGCAGTCATGTGAGATACCAGAGACCCAGAGTTTCCACACAGAAGTGCCTAGCTTCTCAGTTATGCCCTGAGGTTCAAGGGCCCATAGATGTTCCACAGTGGGGTACAAATTCCTGTCAATGACAGGGGAAATCTCTGTGAAAAGAATCTTGTGCATGTTTTAAACAGCAATGAGTAGTGAGAGCAGTCATCGACCATCAAAGCACATGCTACAGCTGGAAGGGCAGCAAAGTCCAAGGTGGGGAAAGAGGCAGGAAGGAGGCGTTCAAATGGTGAAAGGTGCCTGAGGTGAAAAAAAGAGTTGGGTGGGAGCGGAGGCAAATTAACCAAAAAACTGTAACTAAGAACAGAAAAGGTTTTATCAACTTTCTGCCTCACATAGTAGACAAAAGCATTCCAGAAACCAGCTCACTGGGATGGGAGAGGGTGCCAAAATGAGATATCATTGAGCCATAGCTGGAAGCTCAGCCAGGGGGTGCATTAGTACGCAGCTATCCAGGGAGGGCCCTACAGAAAACTGATGCTATAGTGCATCGCTGTATTTCCACAGTGCTTGCATCTGCCTCTTCTAAGAGCAGGAGTTAAACCTCTCTCATTGTCACTACAACCCCAGCCTGCTCCTGCAAAACTCAGTGGCAAAACTCACTTTGACTTCAGTGGAAGTAGGATTGGGCCTCAATCTAAAAGGGTGGCTTATTAGTTTATATTGATATAAATGACATGCATTCAAGGAGATAGCATTCCATTCTGCAATGCTGTTTTCATGCTTCTTGACAGGTGAGTCACTCCCCTTCCTTTTATCCTTCTCTGTCACCATTATGACTCATGCTGTACGTCTCCTGTATACTAGCACAGTGTTTCTCAACCTATTTTTGTAACGTACCCCTTTTAAAAATATATATATATATAAGTACACCCAGTACCTACAATTTTCTGGACACAATTTTTTTTTCTACCATTGCAACACATTTATTTAAACAACTTAATTGTCATCAGGTGCTCGATGAAATTTTTGGGTATAAAAAGAACAAAAATAATAAAGTGCTGTAAAACGTAAAACAAAAATATAGTTTTCTCCAGATTTCAGTTGTGTTGACGTACCCCCCAGACTTCTCTCGAGTACCCCTAAGGGTACTCGTATCACTGGTTGAGAAACATTATACTAGCAGAAGCAGCAAGGAGTCCTGTGGCACCTTATAGACTAACCGAAGTGTTGGAGCATAAGCTTTCGTGGGCAAAGACCCTCACCGCTTTTGCAGATTCAGACTAACACAGCTACCCCTCTGATACTGTTCTAGCAGGTTTGTGGCTGTATCTGATGTCACATTTGTTGCCATCTCACATATGATCTAGGGCTATGTGAATGTCTAAAGCCCATGGAAGTCAATAGATGTTTTTCCATTCACTTTATCAGGCTTCATAATAGGCTTATCATTTAAAAAATAATGTTTGGTTGTTTTGGCTTGTTGGCTTTGCACGGTACATTTCACATCTAGTCTCAGTTACTTACAGATCTTTGATAGGCATATGTTTTCATGACCAAGGTTAGCAAGGATTTGGGGGGGGAAGATCTGCCTAGGTAAGTCTGTCTGTGAAGCAAATGACACTAGTGTTTGTTTTTAAACCAAAACAAACCCACAAAATTCAACATGAAAAATTCTTCAGACACAGTCAGACTTTGCTTGGGTTTCAACTAAAGGCTTGTAGGCCTAAAAATAAAATCTCATATAAAGCTTGCAAGGGTTTATTCTGTGTTTGAACTTGAAACTTACACATATGTTATAACACTAAGGGCTTGTCTGCAAATGTAATTGTTCTTGTTAACTCCAAGTGTGGACATCTTGTTCTGGAATAAGAATGCTAAGTACTTGTTTAGCTTAATCCACTATAAATTAACAGTTCTACATGTAGGTAAACCCTGAGTTTCTTAGTGAAAGATCTGTAGAGGGAGGATACTCAACACTTCCAACTTAGCCTCCCCATTTCAATGCATTCCCTTATTGGTGCTCCATTAACCATATATGTGGTCTATATTAGTATTACCATATGGTACTCTGTCTCAATACCATTGTCAGCCATTGTGTTAGTTTGGCATGATGTGGAACATAGCTTGCCCAGTGTAGACAAGAAAAAGTTGTGTTTTGCCTCTTAAATATGATGAATTCCTTAGTGAGCTAGCTGGGTTAGTGGACACAATGCTGAATGCTGTTCATCTTGGTCTCTGCCGACCAATAAACCATAGTCATCCAGCTAACAAGATTATTGAGAGTTGTGCTCAGACATGGTTGTTTTGTAGTGTGAGCTGCACAAAGGATTTTATGCAGTCTTGTCTCTCCTCACATTGGAGATTTTTATCTATGGCCGTGTCCAAACTCAGGGGTTTTTTCGGGAAAAGTAGCCTTTTCCCGAAAAAACTTCCCCTGCGTCCAGACTCAAGCCGCGTTCTTTCGAAATTATTTTGAAAGAACGCGGCTTTTCTTTCGATGGCGGTAAACCTCAATTTACGAGGAAGAACGCCTTCTTTCGAAAGTTCCTCTTTCGAAAGAAGGCGTTCTTCAATGTAAAGAGGCCGTCTTCGAAAGAGAGCATCCAGACTCGCTGGGTGCTCTCTTTCGAAAAAGCAGATTGCTCTTTCGAAAGATCGCGGGGGCCCAGCTGAGCAGCGCAGAAGTCAGCCAAGCACCACAGCAGAAGGCGAAGGGGGGCGGGTTAGTGACATGCAGCATGACAGTGGCTCCAGGCCCTGCCCCTGGCTGTGAACATCACCACCCCGCCCCCCTTTGCCTCCCAGCAGTGCTCAGCTGACTTTTGCACCGCTCAGCCAGGCCGCTGCGTGAGAGCAAGTGGCACAAGTGACCGTTTGGGCTCCACGCTCCCCATGCAGCACGGGGAGTGCAGAGCCCAAATGGCCGTTTGGGCTCCACAATCCCCCGAGTGAGAGGCAGGAAGGAGAGGAGAAGAGAAAGAGAGAGACAGGGAGAGAGGCAGGAGGCAAAGGAGAGCTGAGAGAGAGAGAGTGGGGGAGGCAGTAGGAGGAGGAGAGAGAGAGAGAGAGAGATGGAGCGAGAGACTGGAGGCTCAGGAGAGAAGACTGACGTGGAGGAGAGACCTAAAAATCCCATCTTTTGATGGGCTAATTGGCTAGTTAATTTAGAAGGATGCAGGAAAATATAGGATTTGTCACCTTTGTAACAGCTAGATAGTTATTAAAGCACTTTCTAAA